TATATCGTTTGAAAGATATCGCGGGATTGTAAGTCCGCTATCTGTACCAGTTAGTAAACGTAAAATTTGGATTTATATTATTGGTATTTGGATCTATGCTCTTATTTGCTCAGGAATAGTGACAATCTTGCGTGCTACCGATACATATCAGATTGCAGGTTTTTCTATTGTTCTTATTCCGAGCGATGCTTTAACGGCTTTTATTTTAGTATTAGTCTTTACGATTTTTTCAGTTTCACTACCGTCTCTAGTAATATTATTTTGCTATGTTAGGATCATACTTAAACTATGTAGAAATAATCCGCCTCTTGATGATTCTTATTATAAACTTAAAGTCATGAAATCGATAAAACGACGAAAAATTTGTATAGCATCGTTATTAATTATGACGATATTGTCTGCTTGTTCATTTATTCCATTCCTTGTTTGTTGGATTTGGATTTCTAGTCTTTATCTCCAAGAATCTAAATTTGCTTATGAAAGTTTTATTCAGTTTAATAATCTGCTTTACACAACCTCCTACATTATGTTTATACCAGGTATCGTAAATCCTATACTGTATAATTTTGCAAGTGCCAGTTTTAGGAGAGTCTTCTTAAACTTAATTTTAAATATGTACACTAAAACTGTCAGAAATAGCTGTATAAAGTAAGACTTATCGTGTCTAGAATCATTAAAATATCTTCATCTGAACGCATTAAAGTTTAAAAGTTTATTCTGTATTAAGAGAGTTATTACTAGGAACAGCCAAATCTTATTAGAATTAAATACATGTACCTTAAATTAAACCACTCGCTTGCTGGTTATACCCTTACGTATGCTATGTTCCATTTTAAAGCTCGTATATGTACATGGAATATTTAATTCGCTTTATTTTGGGACGCATATGACAATATGGCAATGTAGTCAAAGGTAATCTCATAAAATTATTTGACTTTGAAACCAATTGTAAACACCCTCATGCGGCAATTCTCCTTGTTGGTTTAAGCTAGCTATCTAAGAGACATATTTTGACGAATTCAAGAGCTTTAGTTAGCATTAAGGCAATTAATGTTATATTTGAATCCAAGTAAAACCAATTTTTTACTAAAACATAAAATCCTAAATTTGAGCTTACTTAATGTAATAACAGTTACTATATTCAATTTTAGGGTAAAAATATCGCTAATATAATATTTCAGTCAAAGAATTAAAAAAAGCGTTCACACTTATCATTTACGTCTGTAACTGCTTAATTAATAGTCAGTCTAAATAAACTGAAAAGTTTGTTTTACATATTTTTAAACACGAAAGTATTGATTATAAAGTTTAAAAGATTTCTAAACTACATCTACATCCCGTCAATACTTATCAGCATTAAATTCCTAATTCTACCAGCAAATTACCAGAGAATTTTAGAATGTGATAAAAATTCAAAGCTTTGTATTAGCCTCTTTAACTAGGGCAATATTTACTTTGACGCAGTCTCATTATTTGCCTATCCCTTTGCCTATATTGGGTGAATGAGTAAGGATCTTGCTTAGCCCGAACAGATATCCTAAAACAGTTGGGCGGGCACTGATAATTTTATAAACTAGAACTACTATGCGCGTATCTGTCGAATAGTTTATATAATAGCCCTAAGGTAAGGTTATCATCAACAACGAGAAACGAATAGCGAATAGTATAATAATAGTTATGAATAGCAAGTCTTTACCACATAGGACTAATTAATGGCAAAAAAATTTAGAAGGCATGCCATATGTAGTTACTTTGGGTTTAAATCGATACTCTCACGGATATTTTAATACAATAAGCTATAGGAATAGATCTATTTGTATGCTAAAAGAAAGGAATTAAAATTTATACTAATTTCCTTAGAAAGGCCGATAGTCTTTCTAAATTTTTCATCATAGTTGGCTATTACAGAATGCATTAAAATTTGATTCAGTTCAACTTCAGTTCAGTTAACTTAAACGATCTGTTACTACAATATATTTATATTTTTAGAAATCTGCAGTATAATATATCGTTGCATATATGAACCTTTACAAATTATCTCTGCAAGCTTACAAAACTATGCGATAGAAGGTCAATTGATCTCCATTAATACATCATTTATGGTTTGAATTCAAATTCATTAAACTAAATTGAAGATACTTGCTTTGGTGAATTGGTTTATCGTCAAGTTCGCAAAACGTTTAATCTAATGGATGCGAATCTTCTCGTGTCACAAAACAGCTTTGCAACAAGATAACGTAATATACGATCAATAAGTCAATTCCTTGAACCACGTATCAAGGAACGATATCTGCACTATCACAAACACTTTTGCTCTACTAGCAGACTACATAAAGACTTAGACGCCTCGTATTTTACGTTAAATACTATGTTTGAGATTTCACTTTATCTCACGATATGCTGCATTTATATACAGAACTATTCCTCAATAGTTCATGAGTCATAGTTAATACAATTAACATTAGAATCATTTACTGAATTAGACATTAATTTTAGCTACTGCTCCCTTAATGCAGACAACAGTATTTACCAACATAGACATATAATGACTAATACAGAATAGTCAGATTACGATATGTCCTATCACGGAACATTTCCATGATAATTTACGATCTACCATAAGTAAATTAAAATCACAATGATTGGAACTGTAAGTAGATGATTTGCATTCCCTATTATAACTATTAATTTCAGTATGTGTATAAGTGTCACTGTCATAAAAAGTCAGTGCTATATTAAAACACAGTATATCCAAAATTAGAAGTTAACTAAATAAGGATAGGCTAACAGAATTATCCTAACATAGATATTTCTACTCTAATACAGTGCATAACACTGTCACATCCCGTAAATGAATCTTTGCATACGTTTTCAGTAGTAGTCATGGTCAGTTTCGGTTCTGTAGGTATTTTACTTAATGTAATTATGTGCTATTTGATGTTTTCTAATAAAGATCTTCAGCAGCCACCATATATAATGATTGCTGATTTAGCAATCACAGATATCTCAAACTGTTTAACAACTAGAATTCATACAATACCTGCTGTTAGTACTATCGAAAATGCGTAAGAAACCCTTATTGTAGGCAGTCAAGATTATCAGGAATTTGAAATAGTAAACAGTTATATTCATGTGGTGTCTACATCTAATTCTAAGATTACCTTGTTTAGTATCTCATTTAAAAGGTATCATGTAATTATACATCCGCTATCTGTGCCTGTTAGTGAAAGTAAAATTTGGATAAATCATATTGGTATTTGGATCTATACTCTTGCTTGTTCAGGAATTATAATTGTTATGTGCTCCACTGATAGCTATCAGAATAATGGTTTCTCTATTGTTCTCATCACAATTCATGCCTTAACGGAACTTGTTTAGCAGTGATTTTTGGTATTTTAGCAGTTTTAATACCGTCTCTTTTAATGCTATTTTGCTATGTAAGGGTCATACTAACATTATATAGAAATAATCCGCTTCTTGATGATTCTTATTATAAACTTGAAGTCATGAAATTAATAAAACGACGAAGAAATTGTATAATATCACTGCTTATAATAATGATAATGTCCGTTTGTACAATTATTCCATTCTCTGTTTGCTGAATTTAGATTTCTTGTCGTTATCTTCTAGAACCAAACTTTATACAATGCGCAATTTAGTTCAATAGCCTACTGTACGTAACGACCTACATTATGTTTATACCATGCTCAATAAATCCAGTACCGTATAATTATGCAAGCGCAGATTTTGAGAGAACCTTCTTAAAATCTATTTTAAATTTAAATGTGATTCTAAAATTGCTAGAAACAGCTTTTTTAAAATTGAATCTTATCGTATATAAATTGTACAAAAACGTCTTAATCTCAATATATTGTAATTTGAAATTTTTCTCAGCATTAAGAGATTGATCTCTTGATGTAGTTGATTTCCATTAGAATTTACCCTCGGCAACATGAAACTACTTTCTTAATGATTATACCCGTATCTCTAACTTATATTTATTTTAAAATATATGTCTCAGAAATACTGAATTTGCCTAATTTTTAACAGCTAAGATTATTTATGCCATTTTGAAGAGAATTATAAAGTACGCACGATGATTAAATTTAACATTATGTAGAATTAAAAATGCAAACAAGAACAAACGATAGACCCGTTGGTTATAAATTATCTGGTCATGTAAATAAATTTGGATTCGACAGAAGTTACAATAAAATATAGACTAATCGATATTTTTTTAACTTATGACAATTATTAATAGCAAAAGTTCCCTTTTTTCTTACTTAGGAAATATTTGGAGCCCATGGTTAACTTAATTTCATTGATCAAACTTTGTTAAGTTAAATAAATGTTGATTAATCGTTAAAGCTTACAAGAGCTTTATATTGAAATTAATTAAATGCAGCTGTGAATTAATGATATTAGATTAAATAGTTCATTAACCTTGCTATTTAGCGTTATACAGATGCAAAATCAAACTTGACGTATTGACCGTAACCCGAAATGTCAATTACTTCAATAAAATCTGTTAATTTAAAGCATTATTGTTCGCGATTTCTATCATTAGGAAGAATAAACTATAATTAGTACCATAATATTACAGGAGTCTTTAATGATTTACAAAATGCAACTAGTATAAAAAAGACATACACCTGTATTCAATGTTTTATGTGCCAGTCGACAATTACTATGAATTAGGTAGTGATAAATTATTTATCTTTAAGCTATAGAAGATTGAGGTGTGCATGATAAAGTTGATGCTATCATAATTTTATTGACTAAGATGTTATTTTTAGACTTGGATATACTATGATTGATGACTAACTAATTAATTATCTATTGAACATACAAAAAAAAAGCATGATTAGGAATTTAAATAATTGTACGATAGTATATTTATTATCTCAAGGCCTTAAATTGATATATTTCATGTTAATCTATCAAACTTATAAATATCTGTCAAGATAGATATTAATTTGATACTATTGCAACTACCAAATATGGCAATTTTCTCGAATTCGACCAGTAATAACATCTTTAGCAAAAATTTCGACTTGGTTTTATGCGTTTTACTTATCAGTATTATTAGTATAATCTTCAATATCGTTGTTTGCTCTCTCATATCAAACAGTGCTCGACTTCGACAACCTTTTCATCTTTTAATCGCAAATTTAGCGCTTGCTGATATTCTTTATGGCTGTTCATCGATTTTAAGATGCATTATGATTATCTTCACTGCCGATTATAATTATTCCTTAGATATTAGGCAGTTACTGCGTAAGAACGTCAAGATTTTATGTGGCATTACCAATTTTATTGCAGCAGTAGCTATGTCGAATTCTATGATGACATTAGCTGCTATTGGAATAGAAAGATATCGCGGCATTATTCATCCACTTACTGGACCGATTCATAGGAATAAAATGAACTTTATTATTATTGCCATCTGGTTCTATGCACTAGTCTGTGCAACAATATTTATTTTTGTTACCGATTATGATCGCCGAGACTTAATTGACTGTTCTGGGTTACTTTCTCAAACTCATTTAGATACTAGTTTAGTCTTGTCAGCATTTTTTGCTGTATTAAATTCATTATTACCCTTACTGATCATCTTTATATGTTATACATGCATCATTATTAAGTTGCGTAATATAAATATTCCAATCGAAGACTCAAGATACAAATTACACGCGTTGAAAACCATTAAAAAACGTAATTTAAGCATAATTTCAATATTACTTATCACGACGCTTTCCGCTTGTGGCACTATACCCTATGCTTTTAGTTACGTCTGGATTTCGTTTCAAAAAACTTTGGATCCAAATTTCACTCATAAACTGCTTTCTAAGTTTTCTATGTTATTTCGTGTAACTACCGTAATGATGTTTATGCCAGGTATATTGAATCCTATTTTATATAACTTTGCTAGCATCAATTTTAAAAATGAATTTAAATTGTTGACTCGCAGATTGAGAATTTCTTTTAAGTTTACCGCTACTTAAACGTTAGAATAACCAATAATAAAGTTCATCGCTAAAATTAGTTAACAACTTGTTAAAATGGTATCATCAATAATAGAATTAGTCTGTAAGTCTTAATACTAGATCGATTTGAATGATTTAAAATTAATCATACCTCCGTTGACTTTCATTTTATCTTGGAGTTGCTTAACTCCTTTGAGGTATTAAATTGATAGACATATGGTTTCATATTGAATACCCTAATGCAATGGATAGCAAATATAAAGGAAAGGCAATTTGCTGTCGCTGATGTGAAGTTCCTTTTAACTTCATCGGTAATTAAAAGTTCATAACATCGCAAAGAAAAAAACAATAGAAATATATAAGATACATCTAATTTACCTTTTTATTAATATGAAATTGGTTCTTAATATTGTTACTTCTTACACTGATTAACTAAATATTAATTAACTGAACTCTATATCCTATTGGTAGACGTTATCAATTAATCTAATTTATATCATAATATTCCTTTTTCGTTTTATTTCAAAATGAATTCGCATAATCGTATTTATAGTCTTATTTATTGAATACAGATCCTGACTATGGACATCTTATTAGATATGAGCGTTTAGGAAACAATTACAGAAATAAAATTTCTACTTTAGAGTTTAATGACAATGAGTTAAATACCTGAGCTCAAGATTATTGGCTAATTCCATTACCTCTTAGACATAGCATAACAATATTTATTGGATAAACATCGATAATCCCATATTCTTCTGATTAATATATGAATGCTAATTTTAACGAATAATGAAATAAAAATAAATGGAAGTATATTCAATAAAATTTGTATATTTATGTCTTGACTGTAATGAGTTCCTTAGTTACTTTGCAAGAATAATGTATGGTTGAAGATACTGTTATCATACTTTAGCAAATTCTTAAAATCAGAACTTTTTTGCATGTTTTGGTATTGCAGTAATTAAACAAGCATCGTCCATGAAAATTCATCGTGGGTAATTGAAATTCACATTTTAAGCAAAAATAATTCAAATTTACTAACTAACTTTCGTAAAAACTATTTATTTTATGCTATCACTGGATTTCTAGAAACGCTATGTATCAAAAATACTTGAGAAACGTAACATTGCATAATCGAACTATTACTGTATGCATTGACCATCTCCATTGCATATTTAAGTTCACTTGTCATTATCTTCAGCATCGCTGTCTGCATAATTACTCTCAAGAAGAGAAATAGACAGCAACCTCTTCGTAGATTAATTGTCAATATTATTCATAGAATTAAGTGGTCGATTATGATTGCTACCTCGATTCTAAAACAAGGTTCAACCAAGTGGTATAAAGTATATCTATTGCCAAAAATTTAAAGTTGGCAATCATTGCAAGTACACACATGACCTGCTCTAGTGTTTAGTTTATGAGATTAAATTAATAGTTGTCCGGCTATTATTTTACTCATATCAATTTAATCATGATTCAATCAGTATCTTAATGATTTACTGTTTCGACAATTAGTAGACATTGTAATAAATTAAGTATTACAGTATCTTGGGAATGTTATTCATGTGACACGAGTAACCGCTAACAAAGGGCAATTTTAGTGTGCATAGTTTTATAATTAATCAATTTTATGCAAGAAGGCCAAAATTTTGTCAACGTATAAACTGAGAAAGAGATCGTACAGAGCTAGCAGACCTTTCCTCCATTACTGCAGCATTTATGATCATCGCAACCTCTGTGATAGATATTAGAGCTTCTATGCTAAGAACTGTCGTAGCTATACAATGTCTAGCTAGTACTTCAAATGCTTTGAACTACTTATAAGTATTTGTAATCACCGTTTCTAAAAAAATTTGGCGCAGTATCCTGGTAGATCATAAAGATCAACAAGCTGATTATCAAGACTGGAAATGAGTCACAAATAATGATATTAATTAGCTTTAACGAGACATAATCCGTAGGTAAACTTGCTATCCAGTAGAAGGTATTCTGCAGTCTATCTTAGTACACTAATTGTAGGTAATTGCGAGAGTTTCATGCATTCCTGATTTATGTGATAAGTGCAGTATATTATATTACAATTATCAGAGAAGATATCAAATAATACGACGTTAGAAAGTAGATTCAGTTGTGATAAAAGTAATGTATACGTTAGCATTAATATAGGCGATTAATATTACATATTCGTTACACTAAGATTCGTTATTAATCAAGCTGTCATTAGACACTGACGGGTTATATTAAGGTTAGGGATGGTACTCCAATCGAGATCGTGCACAACAATTGAGCTACTTAAGCTCAGAGATTTCTTAAGCTTCAATTTGTTAACCTCTTCACTTGCTACACGGAAATTAAATTACCTCGTTCAATATAGAATCTACTTCTATACCATAAATTCATGTAAATTATCTCGAATGACTTTTAAATGGACAGCTACATAGCCGATTTATCAAATCCTTTATCACAATGATCATAGTAAGACTTTACTTAGTGTCTTTTTTAAATTGTATCTCCGTATTCTAAGTTGAATGGTATGATATTCACGCTTGACATGGCATATACTGTGGTATCCTATTTTTGATTTAAAATTATCTGCGTTGCTTTACTAATTGCTGATAAAGAATTATTTTAAGCTATATTACTGTTTAGGATAACTGTTATACAACAGTGTCGCAAACCAGCTTCGTGACAAGGATAACGTAAAACAAATCTCGAAATTACTATAGTCTCCGGGATTCAGTATCCCTCAACTACCTCACAAGAATTTAGACACCTTCGATTCTACGTTAAACTCAACTAGACAATTGAGAATTACTTTATTCAACTATCTGACGGGCTTATATACCCTTCTACAGCAGCTAACATTCATGAGTCATCATATAAAAACACTTAGGTTAGAACATCTACTAACTAATTTTTCTTAGTCGGACTACAATATGTCCATTCACTGAATTATTTCAGATCACATTGCAGCACAGCATTAAATTTACTGTAACACATTTATAATTAGAGTAATTCCTATTGTAAGTAACTAGTTGTAATATATTATTACTATATTATATTAACCAAATCTAGATAGCTATTTCTTTACGGTAGTTCGTACCGTGACAAACAGCTATAAAATTGATTCGCTCCACCGAGTTGTTTACCTTAGCTTGAGATCATATTTAAAGCTCCTACGACGTGCCTATGCATGCACAAAATTAAAATTAGTGAAAGGATCATCAATAGCTTTTGAACTATCCATCAGCTATCAGCGCTCATTACTTTACTAATATATAACTAGCTGAGATCACTGCCTTAGGTTTGCATATGTCACTGCTTAATGCAATCTGCTCTACCTATACAACATCGTAGATAGTTGACACTACTCTTGCTATTTCCTTAAAATATAAACAAGTATGTTTTTGTTCTTCTTCCTAATTGGTTTGGATTAAAGGTTTAAGGCAAGGACTACTCAAATTTAGTTTTCGTAGATTTCTAACTGAATATAGTATAAATTACAATTAAAGAATTTAGCATAAATGTTGTGAAAACAGAAGTTAAGCAGTGCTTGCTCAAGGCATAACTTAAGCATGCATCAGTTTTAAAAATGGCCAGTCAAGCTTCGGTTCGGCAAGGACTTTTCCTGCAAAGTAATCATCAGACCTGATAATATTTGAAAAAGGTTCATTCTTCAGCGTAACCAGCTAATAGCAAATCATTCTTGAACTTGACTTTGAATAATTATCGTGCTAAATGTCTGCAGTTGAACGTTTAGTATATTGTAACAGATATTCTGTATGAAGCAATTTCACCTGCTTTCGTAATCTTTCCTAGTGAATTCAGCTAGTTACAGCAATAGGGTATGTTCAAAGTATCCAATTAATACAAAGTAAGCCTTACATGAAGTAGAATTAGAAATTCCTTTGTTTTAATAACTCAGATTCAGAGTTAATCGCTTGAAAACCTAAGGGATTGCTAAACCTAATTATGATACCCTAGTTGAGCGCTTTTGTATCATGCAATACAAGGACGTAGCCTATCGCCGAAATTTAGCCAATGTGAGTAATGACTATCATCTAAGCGAGAACACTATTTTAGATATAAAAAGATGCTAGTTATTAATTCATATGCTAAACACCAAAAATGAACAATATTAAAAAGGTGCTAGTAGAGTTTGGCTAATCTGCACTGTCTCATATTGTGTTGTACCAATTTTAATCATTCTTAATAAATGCATTACTTAACGTACTAACGTACGAATTTAAGCCAAATTTCATTTGTTTTAATCATTTATTTCTATAGCAATACTGTAGCTGTTGAACTAATTTTTAGGCAGTTTGCTTAGATTACAACAATAACATCCACAAGAAGTACTGTAATTTGCCTTGTGAATTGTAAAGCACTCATAATTTATCCAGCTAAGGATTAAATATTGGCTTAACTTATCTAATAGACCGACTGCAACACCTTTACAATACCACACATTTATTTTAGTCTAAATGAAACAATATTGAAATTTATTAACGGATGAACCAAAGCTGCAGTAGGAATTAAAATGATGACAATAAATATATTTCTAGAAATGCACAAGTTACATTGTACAAATTATCATAACATACTTTATGAAAACTACAAAAAAACATTATCAATTAGGAACAAGAAAATCGCCTACGATAATAATGTATCAAAGATAGGAAAATCACATCGTAGACAAGTATGAGTTACCTTATTGACAGTAAATATAAACTAAATCACTTAAAATGGGTTGTTAGACAATTTTAACTAATGCAAATAAATTCTTAGATCGATCGTTAGCAATTTTATCAGACATGGGTGCTATTTGGCTGTAATACTTATCGGCGAACCTACAAAATGCTACAACGCGTGTTAAATTAATGAAGTCCAGGCTAAGCAATTAAACACTCTAGAAGAATTTGCTTACATTTGTAAGCAAGTAAACTTTAAAAGAAGGTAGGGCTAAATGTCAATTTTAATATAGGTTTCATTGGTAACCTTAATGAAGGTATGCATGATCCTTATTTTGGTTTATTAGATATACGCAATTCCCTCCAAAATTGCATGGTTATGCTCATAGTAGATTAAACATTATGTAAGTGCTTACTTTTTAAAGACAACGATCGTTAACCTTGAGAAGCATCGACAAATTCAGATTTGACTAGTACCAAATATCTGATTTTAACTTGATCTGGATTGTATATGACGTATCTTTTAGTAGTTCGGTTAAGGAAAATAACATAATACTTGATACACTAACTATGTAATAATCAATTCACGACATATAGAAATCATAAAGAGATATGCAAGATACTTATTCCCATCTGGCCAGTCGAAGTCTCCAACAATATCTCCTAACGGTACGACAACACCATTCTCTATTGTAACATCTCCATCAGGATCGGGTCCGACTTTTCCTTTGACTACATCGTATAAACATAAAAATTAAATTTAAACTTTAGCAATCATATTTATAATTCGAACCATAAATCTGTTTGGTGTATTAATGTCGATATTTACATTTAAAACTATCAGCCGTACGACGCGCTTTCGATAGATCTGATTGTTCATTGGTGCTATAGTGAAATCAATCAAAAACAATGTAATCTAAAATACATCATTTTAACAAAATGTTTGCAGTGCATTCTATAATAATGTAAAAAGCTAGAGAGTGAGCCAAAAAAACTACAGTATCTAATACAGCATTGATCTCAATAATTTATACAAAACAGTTCTTTATAGAGCGTACATCCTCCCAAGTGCTACTTCACATAGCATTAATAGTCCTGTCGAATTTGTAATACTTAAACCACAGTCTAAAGCAGCCTAGAGATAAAACCATTCGTGCGTGTTTTAGTATACTACTAATATAGCATGATAATCTATGATTTAGTTAGATGGAGATAGAATAATTTCAAGTTAAATAATCTGCTTTTGTATTACCTGCCAAAACATATCTTGACATATAAATCAAAAATATATAAATAAATAATTAATATTATACAACGTCGGTTTCCTTACAAAGTCCAGTTACTAACATACTTGTGATACATGAATATATTTACCTGAAAAATAAATTCCTTTCCCGTGCGGAAAACCTACATTCTATAGAGTTATATGTGTATTAAAAATCTAATAATTTCGTACTATTTAGTATTTTATATCAAAATTTTAAATCAAAATAATTAAGTTTGTAAAACTTTTGAGAGAAATAGGTTACTCGATAGACTAATATGCTTACGTAACTTAACTTAAGCGTACTCTTCATGCAATACACTGCTATATTATGTAGCATCACTGAATATAAAACTAATAAAAGGCAGCTGTTATGGCGTAGACTATTTGGCGTCAAGGATTTTACATAGCAAGTTAATATCAGAGTTGAACTAACTTATATTATAATAAGTAAGTTCATAGTCGAAAACTTAATGTTTAAAGATTTAGAGTAACTATTGAGCTGAATTATTGTTATGACAATTTAGGCCTTCCGTATCATGAAGTGTCAGGCTAGTATCTTATAAAGGATTACTATAAACTAGTCTACTGTTTCCCTCGATCTACTCACATGAGCTAAATCACAACAATATATGATTATGGTAGAGAATATGATATAAAATAAGCTACTTAATTACAAATTTAATTTTACACTGCATTATGCCCTGAGTTATAACCCTCATTTAATAACGGTATCAGAGAGAACGCAAAGCACAAACTTATATACAAATGATTTAACCGTTATACCTACATCGCGAAAATCTCTCTTCGCCATTGGTTGTAAACCCTTAGTAAGTATTCGACTGTAATTAATTACACGATTGCCAAGCCATAATAACATACGGTTATCCATAGTACAATATTTTTCATATTTTTTATGACTTTTGTGATTTTGAACCTTATATACCTAGTGAAATTAAGCGCCTAGTAGATTAATAAAATAACGCATAATTTCGAGTATGGATAAATCAGTAAATTGAAATAATTCAGTAGTTCCTCTCAACATTAATTAATCTTACGACCTCTTCAATGCTTAAATTGTAAAATTGGTCGCGTTTCTTTTTACAGACTTTACTTCCATACTCAAAGATCATATTGAATTCATCACTGCTACGCAATAACGGCTAAACAGTATCAATGATAAAATAATTAAGGGTATGATACATGTATAATATAGTAGTTACAATGATTAATCTTGTAACAGTAGTATATCCTAGTGCTCTTAACAATTCATCAAGAGGGTATGTAACTTTGACATACTTCTAGTTCTATCTTCATGCTTTGATATAATTTATACAAAAGATCTTTGCCAACTCTTTTAGTGTTTTCTATTAAATCATAGCATACAGCAATATCCATAACATCATCCATGTTAGACCATATTTCCTGAAACAAAATAAGATATTACGCTTTATAATACCGATTTATAACTTTACTGAATATTTATCTATTACCGTCTTCTATTATATATATTTAAAATTAGTATGAACAGTTAGTAATAATTCTGTGCATAAGATATTAAAACAAAGGAAATTACCCTCAGATTATACTCATCATCGCAATAACGGAATCCATCGATTTTATGTAAGTCTTTGTAAATTAAATTGAAAAATTTCTCTTTAAGCTTTATTATTTTATTTTTTCTTTGTATGTTTTTACTCGACATCTTTGATGAAACCTATGCACATGTAATACGATGGATATTAATAATGCTTAATAAGCAGCATCTTTCAATTTTATGATACAAGTCTACAGCTACTATGATCTTATCATCGTAGGAGTGTTATTTCTTTTAGATAAACTATATACTGAAAATACCAGGAAGAGTATGTTAGAAGGTAGACTCCTAGCTTTAATTTTCGTTGCGTCAGTATCAGTTCGCAATGAAAATACAAACAAAAAAATGAGTTACGTTTACCTATAATAGACTAACCGAATCTATTTGATGAAGTAATTGCACTGCTTTTTCTACTCTGTCAGTCGTTAAAGCTTTCAGTTTTATTTTTTCTACATCAACCTAATGACATTACATTAAAACAAACAATTTAGAATCCGTAATCTTATTGTAAATCTTTGTAATTAGCACTATACTTTAATAAATATTTTATACTATACTTGGTAGTCTAACAGATAGGCTGATAGCAGCTTGACGTTAAAGATTATCTTCAACAGCTTTTCGATGTTAGGCGAGATTTTGGCACTAGAAGAACTGGAAATTAAGTTATCCAATTGAATGGCTTCTTTATCCTAGTCGTAGCCAATTAATGATAGAAATGTGTAATTATATTAAATAGATAAATTAATAAAGCAAATGAAATATTACTTATCCGTACATTATCGCTAATATATGAGGTGCCAACAGGGTAACCCTTTTGAACTTTTCGCTTGATCTGAGTATCTTTGAAACATGTAATTCCTACGAGAATCGATCCAAAATTTAGCGAAATTTACACTCCGTGTACCAGATAAAGCTGATATAGTGTAAGTACTTTCATACCTGTGTTTTCGTAATAAAGCTCATCAAAGGCCATCATGGCTTCAACTTTTGAATACATACACTATAAATTAGCAAAAACAGGCTTATAGCCTATATCTCTTACATTTTTATTACAAGTGAATTCCGATTTTTATAAGAAGCACATTTAAAGTAGAAGAAAACTGATGTCAATCAAAAAGCGTTATTAAGTATTCAATAATTACTTTAATCCTGCTTCTGATCACATGTGAATAATCAATAGCACTCTCCATCGTAAATAAGCAATAGCTGTTAAAATTTAACAAAATAATTTTAGTAACTATTCGGTTAATAAAATCTGTACAGCATCTTAACTAAGAATACTTCATTGCATTATGATGTAATAAACAGAAACAAGGACAGCTAAGATAAAAGTCTGTATTAGAACTAACTTATGTAATTTATTATGCTGAAGAGCTTGTAATTTAAGCCACTCGCCAGGAGAAGTTTCAATTACAGCACTGTAAATGTTACAATTTGGATCTTTGATAACGCTATAATCATTTTCAAGTCCTAATAAAGTTCATTTAGTATGATTATCGGCTATACCTAATTATAGTTAATGTTCCATCGATACTTAAAATCATATATCTAGTCAGTCTTTATCATACGAGTATTATTATGAATTTATTCACGTAGCAAAAATTGCTATTTGTAAGTATCTCATATAAAAATAGTATCAAATGAGATTAGTTTATATTCAGCTATTACCGCTGTGTGGATCAGTGATAGCTAGGCCAGATGGCGAAATGATATTTGTTGAGTAAAAGCCTGTAATAATATATTCGAGTAAGAGCTATTACGCTATTTGCATATTGCTTCACATTCTATTGGGCAAGATATCGTCGTACAATTTGCAATAGTACGTTATGATGGGTGCTATATAGTAAGGAGTCATTTATGTACGAGTGTATACTGTTACCTTTTCGTGTATTCTTAATCTTGGCGACCTGCGCTTGATAAAAGTTTATTATAATTAAGATTCACATACATATAATACATTTTCAAACGTTTCATGTAAATCTAATTTACAAAGCTGTTGCTTTTACAGTAACATCAACGATAATAAAAGAGTAGTTACCTTCTCTGCAGTGCAATTACTAACGCCATATTTCGTGATAGTCTCATCAAAGTTGTCACCTGTAATAGCTGACAGGCATTCTTCTGAAACTGTAGGCAATCCTAGATTATCGATCTCTTCTTTTAATTTCTTGTTTAGTTTATCTAAAGGAAAACGTTATCTCATGTAAAACTAGGACAAAATTAAAAACATATCACTGCATTGCAGGATTGTTATTTTCTAGAGACTGTCTAAATCATACCTAGTCGACCAACACACAAATCTACATATTTTGAGATCTGTTCATGAAAAATTCCTCCTAAATTTTCAATTTTCTTCCTGATATTGGACTTTAAATGTGTATTATATAGTTAGTATAGCATTAGCTTTCTAATAATGAATGCAAAGAACAATGACGTAAACGTAAGGTTACTGATTAAATTCATATAGTTAATAAACATTTCTGAAAATTTTCTTTTAGAAAGGTAACTTACCATATTCTCTTCTAGCTTGCCAATAGTAGCTACGCGAATATTGCCTAGGGGCTTCTGCTTTACGATACTCTCTCTACATAGAATTGTATGAAAGATTATAATACTTGCAACCAGATAAATCTCTATTTCTAAACTAACGTTCATTCAATAAACTACCAAAACATGGAATAATAAATAGCGTAATATTTTGCTTGGCGCATAATCTAAAAACAGCTACAGTTTACACTAACACCCTATTAAAATTTCTACGTATTTTAGATATTTGCTGTACAGTTATTATTGTTTGTACCTATGGATACATCGATGCTTTAATTTTTCAGGAATAAAGCATGATTCGTCTTTGTTTAATTGGATCCGATCGAGAGGTGTATAGGAATAACTATTACTAAGAAAATTTTTTTCTGTACTTGATAAAATTATCATAAACAAGCATGCAAGATATCAAAGAGAAATGGCAATAAATTTTAAGATAATATTTTAAAGATTCAACTAGTAAGATCTCTTTTTGAAACGAGTAAAAATTCAATCAGTCATATCAGCATCTTGACACATCATAGTCGTTATTAACAGCATGAGGGATCGATATATTAATAAGTAATATACAACGTAATATTATGATACTAACAGAAAGGGAGACTTGGCCTTTAGTTCTTCAGAAATTTTGCAAGCGCATCTCTCGCGTTTTTCTGTAACATATTCGCATGGAATGTTGGCGATTCCACCTGTGCAAACAAAGCCATTCGATGTTTCTCTAGGAGTAAATTTTAATCCTTACTTAGATAGATTGAAAAATCTTACTCTATAAATCTGGAGGCATAGTTTCTGAGAATGTTTGTATCAGTATTGTCTAAGCTACTATAAAATTTGGCTAGTTAAATTATAAAATACAATTATTTCCATTACTTGACCTTAATGTCATTAGTAGTAAGTTTACTATTATATAATTACTTGAAATATTTGGAAGATTTGTTACAATTAGGACAAGGTTTGAAAGCTCCGAATACTATTCGCTCAGCGCAGTCGTTTAGATTCTGATAAACGACAAGTATTAAAGTATTGACAATCGTTAGCAATTAGCATCGATGATTAAACGATTAAGCAGAATTTTGACCAATTCAAGCTACAACAATTTATTAAGGCCTCACAGTCTGTTCGCTAGTGGGAGTTTCACCATTTTGAGACTTTATTAGCCGTAAAGTTTCTTTATCGCATTCTTCTCTAAGTATATTTCTAGTTTTCCAAACCATCATCATTTGCTCCTGTGTATATATAAATTATAGTAAAGAATTATTATTATTTTGCATAACTATGATTTAAAATGATATGATGATTATCATCATGATTTCATATTTAATCTATCCATGAAAGTAATCCATTTAAGTTACAGTATTTATAGCAGAATAACGTACTTCATATTTGGAATGTTCATCGGCATGACTAGCCATTCTCTTTGCTGCTTTTGATGCTTGATGATCTTGTTTTCTCTTCATGCTTCAATGATTTCTAACACAATTGCGAGACCATTAAAAATTTAAATTTGATACGCGTAGTTCAATATATGCTTAGGTTAAACTGTTATTATGACAAGTGGTTTGGCAAAGAGAGTTTGTTAGGATTGGGCCTTAAACTAGGTGAATATTAGGTTCTGTGACTGTTAGTACTGCACGAAATGTGAATATAATTGAAACCGCTTCAAGGGAATTTTGCTTCTATTTTATTTTTAATCTTACTTACAAATAACAAATTCTACACTAGCTAGTACTTCGGTAGGCTTCGCTAGTATTATTCTACTGCTATGACAGATGACGATTAAATGAAAAAAGACTCTTAATTGACAAGAACATTCTACTTATATACAAATATTGCGGTCATAGCACCAAACCGCTATCACAGTAACTGGCATATTATGATCTGTGTCCACAACCGCTGTGTGATATACGACGAAACAAACAGTAATATTAAAAAATAGTGAGAGACAAAACCACGCAGGTTAAACCTGTCATAGAGTATAGAGTATACCTTCAGAATCACAACAGAGTATTCTTGAACTATTCCAATTTATTATGGATTCTTTTTTTAGAAAAGCAAAACAACCATTGCCATTCTAAACACTATTGAAAAAACTAGTTTTGGTGTATTAAAGAGTACATTGCTAGCAAACAGTATATCCAGAATATTTGACCTTCAATATTGTTTGGTGCTAGTTAATAAAGATAGACTAGGCACAAAGCTCTTCCATTTCTTGAATAGTTGGCTACACTGACTGAATCTTACTGTTTTGATCAAGATGATAAAATCATTCACTTTAATTTCCCGTTAGTAAAGTAATAACGAATCAAGAACTACCGTTCTAATACTCAATTCTGTAAGTGTTTAGTGATCTTATTCGCAATCCTTTAGGTGTAAACAAGTACGGTTATTGGAGCAGAAACGTTTCTCTGTTTTTAGACCATTTTTTTGAAATACTGCTGTTGTAGGAAGTTTTTCTTGATCTGTCAGAGCTTGTAGCACTGTTATGCAGTATCTCGGTCGTTCAACGATCAGTTAGCAAAAGTATGCTATCAAATTTTTAGTACATGCACACGCTGAGTACTGTCAGTAGAAGAGATTTAGCAACCAATTGACTCCCGTTTCTCATCAGTCAAGTAATGTGCAGGAACTAACGAATATCAATCATCAATGATAAATAACATCCTCAACGATGAGAATAGGCTATTAGGCGCGTACGAAATCCAATATAGCAGACTTAAAAGTAAATAAGAGCTTGATAAGTCTACCTTTAGCTTGAATATTGAATGATGCTTCCGTCGGTGAATGGTTGTATTACGATAACTGTAATCCTTTGGTAGGTAGTAATGTTTCTTGACTAAAAGAAAATCAATGCAAAGAATCAGGATTCGATTGGAGCTTGCTCACAGTAATGGCATGTGAGCTAAAAGAACAACCAAGGAACAACAAGAATTATAATGGTAGGCATCTTTCGTAGACTACCCGTTGGCATAGATGCTATTGTGACGAATTCAACAGGAACTAAAACAATCCTGAGACAAGTACAAAAGCGATATACCGCATCAAAGAATGAATTCCATCCATCATTGCTTGCCCAAGCACATTCCATAAGCTCAAGGTTTGAATTGATGCCAAAGTAAACAACTGGGAGGAGTAGTCATTGGCATCGAGAACATAGTCCATGACGATTGTTGCAAACAGCAATATAGAATAGTGTAGTAGTAATTAATGCAGGATAAAAATGCATCGTGCATCTTACAGCATCATTTATTGAATATAGACTCCATAATATAGAGCCTGTACGCTTTCTGTCGCAAGACATCCTGGCCGTAGTCTGGCAAAGTGAAGGGAAAACAGATCAGCCGCTGGAAGTAACATTTTACTATGCGTCTTGGCAAAGTCAGTTTAAGCCATATTCGAGGGAATTAGCAGATACTCCGTCACCGTTACATATATACTAAGCCAGACACTATCTAACTTCATGTAGAAGTACTGCCTACCTAAACTTTAATTGCTTCGATAGGCTACTGCTAGGGTATTATGATGGCTTTTAGAAAACAAGCTGAAAGCAATATCAGTAGTGATGTATCTGTGATCTTGCGTTAAGTTAGAGGTTTGCTCAATTTTATTAACTCAGATTTTGAGTTAGATGATTGCGAACAGAGGTTGTAAAACCCAAGCACTACGTCATTAGACCATCATGGCAGCTATTCCTTTCACCCCTTCGATGGGCTGCCGTCAGGGTATTTTGGCGGCTTTAGAAAACAAACTGATAGCTATATCAGTTGTATTGTAATGTGATTATGATGTAGCAAAGGATAGCAATCATTGAGCAGTTCCACTAAGCTGATGACTTTAGCGTTGGAGCCAATTTTTTAAGCGACTGGAACATGCAGCACTTATGCAGGCAAAGTAGATACGGCATATACAGTAGCATGCATGGAAAAGCAACTTTCCTTGAAGTTATCCTCAGTTTTCTTCCAGGAAAACTCAGTGACAGTATAATGAACTGCTTTTGAACCGTTTCATTATACCAACAATCCTCTACAAGTAATTTACTTCGCACAACTGACACTAAGAGCGACGTTAAGCAGTGCTATATTTCGTATTGCCATTTAACTTTTAAACACAAAACTATTGCAGCTAGCTCAAATGACTCCATATAGGTCTGCAGATAAACTCTTGCTAAATTAAATAGAGATTCGTAACATAATACAGTATGCAGTATGTTGGACACGTTGCACTGTGGTAACTATTATATTTAGTTAAAGTTAAGCGTACATACGGCTTTTTCATTGCCGTTTTAAAAGAAGCCATATTTAAAATCTCATTCAGCGAAATGGACTAAATTTTGTGGCTGCAACTGAAACGAAGACGGTAGGCGTATATTTTATCGATGATTCTACAAATTGTTGAACTTTATGGAAAATGAAAATCACCAGTAGGCTAGATTGATTGCACTTCAAAATTGGAAGCGTAATCTCTTCAAAGTAGTTCTATTTTCCTAACATGCCGTGGTGTTCTTTAATTCTGGGACGAATTCGATGAGTTGATCGGGAAACCTTGGAATATTGACGGTTATAATTTAATTTAAAATGACTATAGAGGACGACACTTATTGCAAAGTACGAGAATAAATGAACAATTACAAACTAGCTGCAATAATAATGGAGGCTAGGCTATCAAAATGATACATCGTGCCCTCAAAACGATTCACTTGCGAGTGCATATCTTACAAGCCCTTTCGATAACTACTAAATGATGATAGAATCAGGTTTTAATATCTAGAGTATGGCACTGAAAACGACTATCAGCAATAACAAATGATTTGGATGCCTTTATTTCATCATTATGCCTGCATTAGCGAGTTAACTTTTCTATAAAATGATGAATCCAACACAGATAGTTAGGCAAGGAATTTGTGGTAATACTGCAATCCATTATCAGAGGTTAAATTTATAAATCAGCTTTATTGCTTATCTACAAGACTGGTTGCACCATTAAGAGCAATTAAAGCATACTGGGTCACTTTTTCATAATAATAAGCAGTTTACTTGTCACGGCGTAGTCTTGTTAATCCCACAATAAATTATCCAATAATTAATCTTCAATTTGAAATGGAGAAAATTGCGGATAAGACTACTTTCAAAACTGCCTAGCTTAGCTCTACGGACAACCTCCATGCTGTAAAGCAGTTCTTTCGCTACTTAATATACGAATAACAATCTGATCGGCTGCAAGATAATAACTTCTAAATACTATATGTTGTACTTGCACGGGCTGGATTATGCCTTTTAATTACATTAGAGTTACAACTGGGCTAATAATCCAATGTATACAGTATTTTATGATGTCATAGGAGATGTTGTCTTTATCCGAATTAATTACCAAGCAGCAGCTGTTTCATTCGTCACTTTAGTGGGCTGCTGGCAAGCTATTTCTGTGGATAATGGAAAACATGCTCATCACCAATCAGTTATATCGTAATATAACCTACCGTAGAATTACGATCATCAAGCCAATACCACTGTTTAGAGCAATTACTGTACAACAGCAATAAAATTGACTAACTCCACCCAGTTGTTGACTTGGGTTTGTCATCACATTTTAAGCTCCTACGACGCGACTATGCATGCACCAAACCAAAATCAGTGAAAGCGCCATGAACGCGTTTTGAACTATCCTAGCGATCACCCATCATTGATCATTACTTTACTAATATAGTTAGCTGAGGTCATTACGTAATGCAATCTTTTCTAAATATGCGACATTATAGATAGCTGACATTACTATTACGGTTTCTTCAACGTAGTAAACAAGTGTACTTTTCCTCTTTTTCCTGATCAATTTTGATTAGAGGCTCAAGGCACTCCTTAACATATAACAATTTTTAAAATGGCTGGCTAAGCTTTGGCTTTGCGGGACTCTTTCTGCAAATCCATCATTGGGCCTGACGATATTAGAAATAGTTCATCTGCAACATGAGCTGCTAAATAGCAAATCGTTCTTGAACTTAACTTTGAAAATTTCTCGTGCTCAATATCTACTGTTAAACATTTACTGTGTCGTAGCAGATATTTTATATGAAGCAATTTCAGTTGCTTTTGCTATATTTGGTAACGAGTTCAGCTAATTAAGGCAGCAAGGCGTGTTCACAGTATCCTAGCAATACGAAGTCAGCCTTATAGGATGTAGAAAGTCTGTATGCTTAATAACGTAATTGTGGACGCTAAGCTGGGAATATGAAGCGATAGACCTGTGTCATTTTAGAAATTTCTCTATTTTTAACGACTCACATTCAGAGTCAATCGCTTGAAAACCTAAGGGATTGCTAAACCTAATCCTGATACCCTTGTTAAGCGTTTACTTTGCATCATGCAATACAATGGCCTAACCTATCGCCGAAATTTCGACGATGCAAGTATCGACTGCCATGCAGCCGAGAACACTGCTTTAGGTATAAAGAGATGCTAGTTGTTAATCATAAAAGTAAAAACTATAAATAAAAAATACTGCCACGGTATAAGGAGATTTGGCTAATCTACACTGTTTCATATTGTGTTGTATCAATTCTAATCATTCCTAGTAGATGCATTACCTAATGTACTACTGTGCGAATCTATGCCAAATTTCATTGTTTTGATAATTTACTTTTATAATACTACTGTAGCTGTTGAATTAATTTTTAAGCACAGATAATTAGATAACAACAATGATATCTACAAAAAGTTCCGCAATTTACTTTCTGAATTGTAAAGTACTCATAATTTATCCAGCTAAGGATCAACAATCAAATAAGAAAAAAATACGATTCATAAGGATTAAATATCGACTTAAATAATTCAATAGACCGACTACAACACCTTCATAATACCAGGCATTTATTTAGTCTAAATGAAACAATATCGAAATCTTATTCACCGATGAACTAATGCTGCAACACGAATTAAAATGTTGACACTAAATATACTGCTAGGAATACACAAGTAGCATTATACACCTTATCGTAAGATGCTAAATGAAAACTGCAAATGACGTTATCAATGAGCAATAAGGAAATCGCCTGTGATAACAATGTATCAAAGATAGGGAATCATATCCTAAAAAGTATACGTTACCTTATTACAGTAAGAGTAAATGTAGAATACATCAGTCGAAATGGGTCGTTAGACGATTTAAACTATTACAAATAAATTCTTAGATCGATCGTCAAAAATTTTAACAGACATGGGTGCTATTCGGCTGTAATACTAATCGGCGAACCTACAAAATGCTACAACGCGTGTTAAATTATTGAAGTCCAGGCTAAGCAATTAAACACTCTAGAAGAATTTGCTTACATTCGCAGGAATGTAAACTTTAAAAGAAGGTAGGGCTAAATGTCAATTTTAATATACTGTAGTTTCATCGGTAACCTTAATGAAGGTATGCATGATCCTTATTTTGGTTTAATAGATATATACCATTCCCCAAAATTGCTTGATTATGCTCATAGTAGATTAAACATTATGTAAGTGCTTACTTTATGAAGATAACGAAGGTCAATCTTGAGAAGCATCGACAAATTCAGATTTGACTAGTACCAAATATCTGATTTTAACTTGATCTGGATTGTATATGACGTATCTTTTAGTAGTTCGGTTAAGGAAAATAACATAATACTTGATACACTAACTATGTAATAATCAATTCACGACATATAGAAATCATAAAGAGATATGCAAGATACTTATTCCCATCTGGCCAGTCGAAGTCTCCAACAATATCTCCTAACGGTACGACAACACCATTCTCTATTGTAATATCTCCATCAGGATCGGGTCCGACTTCTCCTTTGACTACATCGTATAAACATAAAAATTAAATTTAAACTTTAGCAATCATACCTGTAATTCGAACCATAAATCTGTTTGGTGTATTAATGTCGATATTTACATTTAAAACTATCAGCCGTACGACGCGCTTTCGATAGATCTGATTGTTCATTGGTGCTATAGTGAAATCAATCAAAAACAATGTAATCTAAAATACATCATTTTAACAAAATGTTTGCAGTGCATTCTATAATAATGTAAAAAGCTAGAGAGTGAGCCAAAAAAACTACAGTATCTAATACAGCATTGATCTCAATAATTTATACAAAACAGTTCTTTATAGAGCGTACATCCTCCCAAGTGCTACTTCACATAGCATTAATAGTCCTGTCGAATTTGTAATACTTAAACCACAGTCTAAAGCAGCCTAGAGATAAAACCATTCGTGCGTGTTTTAGTATACTACTAATATATCATGATAATCTATGACTTAGTTAGATGGAGATAGAATAATTTCAAGTTAAATAATCTGCTTTTGTATTACCTGCCAAAACATATCTTGACGTATAAATCAAAAATATATAAATAAATAATTAATATTATACAACGTCGGTTTCCTTACAAAGTCCAGTTACTAACATACTTGTGATACATGAATATATTTACCTGAAAAATAAATTCCTTTCCCGTGCGGAAAACCTACATTCTATAGAGTTATATGTGTATTAAAAATCTAATAAGTTCGTACTATTTAATATTTTATATCAAAATTTTAAATCAAAATAATTAAGTTTGTAAAACTTTTGAGAGAAATAGGTTACTCGATAGACTAATATGCTTACGTAACTTAAGTTAAGCGTACTCTTCATGCAATATACTGCTATATTATGTAGCATTACTGAATATAAAACTAATAAAAAGCAGCTGTTATGGCGTAGACTATTTGGCGTCAAGGATTTTACATAGCAAGTTAATATCAAAGTGAACTAACTTATATTATAATAAGTAAGTTCATAGTCGAGAACTTAATGCTTAAAGATTTAGCGTAACTATAGAGCTGAATTATTGTTATGACAATTTATGCCTTCCGTATCATGAAGTGTCATGCTAGTATCTTATAAAGGATTACTATAAACTAGTCTACTGTTTCCCTCGATCTACTCACATGAGCTAAATCACAACAATATATGATTATGGTAGAGAATATGATATAAAATAAGCTACTTAATTACAAATTTAATTTTACATTACATTATATCCTGAGTAATAACCCTATTTAATTTAATAACGGTATCGAGAGAAGGCAAAGTACAAACTTATATACAAATGGTTTAACCGTTGTACCTACATAGCTTAAATCTCTCTTCGCCATTGGTTGTAAACCCTTAGTAAGTATTCGACTGTAATTAATTACACGATTGCCAAGCCATAATAACATACGGTTATCCATAGTACAATATTTTTCGTATTTTTTATGACTTTTGTGATTTTGAACCTTATATACCTAGCGAAATTAACCGCCTAGTAGATTAATAAAATAACGCATAATTTCGAGTATGGATAAATCAGTAAATTGAAATAATTCAGTAGTTCCTCTCAACATTAATTAATCTTACGACCTCTTCAATGCTTAAATTGTAAAATTGGTCGTGTTTCCTTTGACAGACTTTACTTCCATACTCGAAGATCATATTGAATTCATCACTGTTATGCAATAACGGCTAAACAGTATCAATGATAAAATAATTAAGGGTATGATACATGTATAATATAGTAGTTACGATAATTAATCTTGTAACATTAGTATATCCTAGTGCTCTTAACAATTCATCAAGAGGGTATGTAACTTTGACATACTTCTAGTTCTATCTTCATGCTTTGATATAATTTATACAAAAGATCTTTGCCAACTCTTTTAGCGTTTTCTATTAAATCATAGCATACAGCAATATCCATAACATCATCCATGTTAGACCATATTTCCTGAAACAAAATAAGATATTACGCTTTATAATACCGATTTATAACTTTGCTGAATATTTATTTATTACCGTCTTCTATTATATATATTTAAAATTAGTATGAACAGTTAGTAATAATCCTGTGCATAAGATATTAAAACAAAGGAAATTACCCTCAGATTATACTCATCATCGCAATAACGGCATCCATCTATTTTATGTAAGTCTTTGTAAATTAAATTGAAAAATTTCTCTTTAAGCTTTTTTATGGTATTTATTCTTTCTAATTGTTTACTCGATGTCTTTGATGAAACCTATCCGCGTGTAATATACTGGATATTAATAATGTTTAATAAGCAGCATCTTTAAGTTATATGAAACAAGTCTACAGCTACTATGATCTTATCATCGTAGGAGTATCATTTCTTTTAGATAAACTATATACTGAAAATACTAGTAAGAGTATGTTAGAAAGTAGACTCCTAGCTTCAATTTTCGCTACATCAGAATTAGTTTGCAATAAAAATGCAAGCAGCAACAGAATTGTGTTTACCCACGATAGACTAACCGAATCTATTTGATGAAGTAATTGCACTGCTTTTTCTACTCTGTCAGTCGTTAAAGCTTTCAGTTTTATTTTTTCTACATCAACCTAATGACATTACATTAAAACAAACAATTTAGAATCCGTAATCTTATTGTAAATCTTTGTAATTAGCACTATACTTTAATAAATATTTTATACTATACTTGGTAGTCTAACAGATAGGCTGATAGCAGCTTGACGTTAAAGATCATCTTCAACAGCTTTTCGATGTTAGGCGAGATTTTGGCACTAGAAGAACTGGAAATTAAGTTATCCAATTGAATGGCTTCGTTATCCTAGTCGTAGCCAATTAATGATAGAAATATGTAATTATATTAAATAGATAAATTAATAAAGCAAATGAAATATTATTTATCCGTACATTATCGCTAATATATGAGGTGCCAACAGGGTAACCCTTTTGAATTTTTCGCTTGATCTGAGTATCTTTGAAACATGTAACTCCTATGAGAATAGATCCAAAATTTAGCGAATTTTATCACTCTGTGTACAAGATAATGCTAATGCAGCGTAAGTACTTTCATACCTGTGTTTTCGTAATAAAGCTCATCAAAGGCCATCATGGCTTCAGCTTTCGAACACGTATACTATAAATAAGTAAAACAGGCTTATAACTTATATCTCTTTACATTATTATTACAAGTAAATTCCGATATTTGGAAAGCACATTTAACGTAAAAGAATACTGATACTAATCATCAAGTATTATTAAGTATTCAATAATTACTTTAATGTTGCTTTTGATTGCATGTGAATAATCAATAGCGCTCTCAATCGTAAATAAGCAATAGCTATAAAAATTAACAAAATCGTTTAAGTCAGACCTGTTCGATGAAATCTGTATTTCAAGTAAATAGAATGTTATTGCATTATCATAATGCCACAAATAGAAACGAGGATCGCTAAGATAAAGTCTGTTTTAGAACTAACTTGTGTAATTCATTATGCTGAAGGGCCTGTAATTTAAGCCACTTGCCAGGAGCAGTTTCAATTACAGCACTATAAACGTTACAATTTGAATCTTTGATAACGTTATAATCATTTTCAAATCCTAAAAAAGTTCATTTAGTAACGTTATCAGCTATACTTATTTATAGTTAATGTAATATCAATATTTATCATACGAGCACTATCATAAATTTTTGCACATAGCAAAATATGATGTTCGTGAGTATTTAATATTAAAATAGCATCACATGAAATAAATTTTAGATTCAGCTATTACCGCTGTGTAAGTCAGTAGTGACTAGGCCTGATAGCGAAATAATATTCGTTGAATAAAAGCCTGTAATAATATAGTCAAGTAAGGGCTATTACGTTATTTGCATATTACTTCTCATTCTATTGGGCAAGATATATATATTTTATATACTTACCTTTTCGCTTATTCTTAATCTTGGCGACCTACGTTTGATAAAAGTTTATTATAAATTAAGATTCACATACATATAATACATTTTCAGACGTTTCATGAAATCTAATTTACAAAACTGTTGCTTTTACACTAATATCATCGATAATAAAAGAGAACATACCTTCTCTGTGGTGCAATTACTAATGCCATATTTTGTGATAGTCTCATCAAAGTTGTCACTTGCAATAGCTGACAAGCATTCTTCCGAAACCGTTGGCAATCCTAGATTATCGATCTCTTCTTTTAATTTCTTGTTTAGTTTACCTAAAGGGAAAGGTTATTTCACGTAAAACTAGTACAAAATTTATAAGAAAACATTGTATTGTAGGATAAGTATTGTTCTATAGGCAGTCTAATAGCAAACCTAGTCGACCAATACACAAATCTACATATTTTGAGATCTGCTCGTGAAAGATTCCTCCTAAATTTTCAATTTTTTTTCTGATATTGGACTTTAAATAAAACAGTTAGTACAGTAATAATAATTTTCTATTATTGAGTGCAAAGAACAGCGTGTAAAATGGAATGTTACTGATTACATAATTGGTAAACACTTATGGAAGTTTTCTTTTAGAAATGTAACTTACCATATTCTCTCCTAGTTTGCCAATAGTAGCGACACGAATATTGCCTAGGGGCTTCTGCTTTACGATGTTACGCCTACATAGAATTATATGAAAAATTAGATACTCATCTAACTATATATTTTTCTACTTCTAAGCCAGCATTTTCTTATTAAATTACCAATACATGAAAAATTAATAGCGTATTAATTTACTTGGCGCATGATCTATAAACAGCTACAGTTTACAATAATACCCTATACCAATATTTTTATGTATTTTAGATATATATGCCCAGCAGTTATTATTACTTGTACCTAAAAATATATCGATACTTTGATTTTTCAGGAATAGGGTATGATTCGTCTTTCTTTAATCGGATCCGATCGCGAGGTACATAGGAATAACTATTACTAAGAAAATTGTATTCTGTACTTGATAAAATTTTCATAAACAGGCATGCAATACGGTATCAAAGAATAGTGAAAATAAATTTTAAGATATTTTTCAACATGATCCAACTAGTAACATCTCTTTTATGAAACGAGTAAAAATTGAATCAGTAATATCAGCATCTCGATGTATAGTAGTTATTAACAGGATGAAAGATCCATGTATAAATACTGTAAGTAAAATACAACACAATATTATGATCCTTACAGGAACGGAGACTTGGCCTTTAGTTCTTCAGAAATTTTGCAAGCGCATCTCTCGCGTTTTTCTGTAACATATTCGCATGGAACGTTGGCGATTCCGCCTGTGCAAACAAAGCCATTCGATGTTTCTCTAGGAGTAAATTTTAATCTTTGCTTAGAAAATTAAAAAATTTTAAACTAGACGTACACCTAGAGGTAAAGTACTGAGCGCATTTGATTCAGTATCTTCTAAGCTACTATAAATTTGGCTAGTTAAATTATAAACGACAATTATTTCCATTACTTGACCTTACAGTCATTAGTAGTAAGTTTACTAATATATAATTACTCGAAATATTTGGAAGATTTGTTACAATTAGGACAAGATTCGAAAGCCCCGAATACCATTCGCTCAGCACAGTCGTTTAGATTCTGATAAACGATGAGTATTAAAGTATTAACAGCCGTTAGGAGTTAGCATCAATGATTGAATTATTAAGCAAAATATTGCCCAATTCAAGCTGCAACGATTTGTTAAGGCCTCACAGTTCGTTCGTCACTGGGAGTTTCACCAATTTGGCATTTCATTAGCCATAAAGTTTCATTATCGCATTCTTCTCTAAGTATATTTCTAGTTTTCCAAACCATCATCATTTGCTCCTGTGTAGATAAATTATAGTAAGGAATTATGGCTATTATGTATCTCAATAATTTAAAATGAAATGATGATCATTATGATTTCATATTTAATCTATCCATGAAAGTAATCAATTAAAGTTACAGTATTTATATAAGAATAACGTACTTCATATTCGGAATGTTCATCAGCATGACCAGACGGTTTCTTTGCTACTTCTGATGTTTGATGATCTTGTCTTCTCTTCATGTTTCAATAATTTCTAGCACAATGGCATACCCATTAAAGATGCAAGCTTGGAACTTGTAGTTCATATTTGCTAAGGTTAAAGTATTATCACTTCAAGTGGTTTCGCAAAATGAGTTTATTAGGATTGGGCCTTAAACTATATGAATTCTAGGCACTGCGACCGTTAGTACTTCACTAAATGTCAACACTGTGAATAATTGAAACCTCACTAATGGACTTTAGTTCTATTCTATTTTTAACCTTAATAAAAAATATCAAATTCTACGCCAGCTAGTACTTCGGTAGGCTTCACTAGTATTATTTAACTGCGGTGACAGATGACAACTGAATTAAAATAAGACTCAAATTAAACGAGAACATTCTATTTATATATGTGCACTGCGTTCATGGCACCAAACCGTTATCACAGTAAAAAGCATATTAAGATCTATGTCCACAGATGCTGTATTATATAATACCAACAAACAGGGATGTTAAAAATAGTAAGACACAATATTTTCAAAGTTAAACTCAACATAGAGTAGAATATATTGTCAAAATCACAAGAGAGTTTTAATGAACTATTTCAATCCATTATAACGTAAACATTTAGAATAGTAAACTAACCATCGCCATTCGAAACAGAATTGCAGAAGTAATTTAGAGTAATACTGTGTACCCGTACATTGTTAGCTTACAGTCAATCCAGAATAATTGGCCATAAGAATAGTTGCGTGCTTATTAATAAGGGCAAACTAGGTTCAACGCTCTTAGCTACGCCACTAGGTTGCCGTTAGACTGCATAATTATAGAGTTTAAGAAAGTATTGCTGCTCACAAAGCTTCAGTGTTATTGAATAAAGCTATTTTGTAGATTATAAAATAGCGTGTCTACTGGTTGTGAGCCTTTTAAAAGGGCAGTTCTTGAGCGTTGTAGCAGTAGTACTATACTCTTACAAGATCTTCTGACAGATTAGGGCAGTAATCTGTAGAAGCAACTCGACGAAAGTGCTTTATGTTGGGCTAGTAAACTTGTCACAAGGTAGTCTGTGATACTCTTCTATTTAATTTCTTGTTAGTGAAGTAATAATAATTAATTAGGAACTACCGTTCTAATACTAAATTCTGTAAGTGTTAAATGATCTTGTTCGCAATTTTTAAGTTGTACCCAAGTTAGGTAACGTATTGAAGCCGCTACACTTCTCTCTTACTAGTGCTTGTCATTGCCTAACTGTTACTACGTTCGTTTCGTAGTTTAAAGATTTTACGATCTCCTAACGATTTCTATTTCTGTAGCAGCGTTGAAACGCCCGGCCTTCAAGAATACGAACACATTTAGCTCAGTCTATAAGCTGGCAGCCCCTGCTCTTAGTAATTAATGTTTATTCTATGCAAACCGTTACAGTGTTTTTAGTTCTTCTTTTCCAAGATCTTTCCTGATCTGTCAGAGCTTGTTACACTATTACATAGTATCTCAGTCGTTAGAGAATTCGTCATAAAAATGTTATAAAATTTTAGGTGTGATGTCAACGATGAGTGCAATTAGTAGAACAAAATTAGCTACAAATTTTATCCTATTTTCCATTAGTAAAGTAATTTGCAGGCACTAACGAATATCAATCCACTATAATAGCAAAATTAACGAGGAGAATGAGCTATTATACGTGTACAAAATCCAATATGGCTGACTTGAAAGTGAATAAGACGTCGATAAGCCTACCTGTCGGTTCAATATTGAATTATGCTTGCGTCAAAGAATGGTTTTATTACGATAAATTTAATCCTTTGGTAGGTAATATTCTGTCTTGGCCAGAAGACAATCAATGCAAATAAACTGTCAGGATTCGATTGGAGCTAGCTTACCGTGCTAGGATGCGAGCTAAAAAAAAGGACAACCAAAGGACAATAACAACGGTATCCACTTCTGGTAGAGGCCGTTGCCTTCAATGCTCTTGTGCAAATTTCAGAAGGTAGCAAAACAACCCTCAGACAAGTACAAAAGCAATACGCTACATCAAAGAAAGAATCCTGTCCACCATTTGCTTGCACAAGTACATTCCACAAGCTCAAGATTTGATTTGATGCCAAAGTAAATAACTGGGTGGAGCGCTTAGTAATTATTCATAATATAATTCATGACAACCACAAGATTGCATATAGACTATTCGATTCCAACTAGTCCATAGTCCATGACGACTGTTTCTAACGGCAATATTACAGTCAATGCTGTAGCACTGTAGCTAAATAATAGTGTTTCGTATAGCACAATTTTACTTATTTTGGAGCCAGTGTCCTTGCTCTCGCAAGACATCTTCTCTGTTGCCTACTAAAGTGAAGAAGAGAGCAGCCGCTGGAAGTTCTATTTAACCATACATCTTTGCAAAGTCGACCTGATCCGTTCTCTAGGGAATTGGGGGATATTCGGTCTCTTTTTCACAATAATAAGCTGCTTCAACTATGCTAAACCAGTTATAGTACTGTCTTACTGCCTATGGAAGAGCTGCATAGCTGCACAAGTGCACGTTAAGGATGATGGATAATCTTAACAGAGACGCAAAGTCATCAGTTATTTAAGGCTCCTCTTACGTCGCATTAAGCCATCGTTTGATAGCAAATTGAACTATCCTAGCAGCAATTTCATCGCTTCGATGAGCTACTGCCCGGGTATTTTGGTGGCTTTAGGAGACAAACTGATAGTAATATCAGCTATGTTGCAACTGTGGTTACCATGTAGCTCATTGATAGCTATAATGGAGCGGCTCCACTCAATTATAGACTTTGGTGTTAGATCCAGTTGCAAGCTACTGGAACTTGCAGTACTTATTCAGCCAATGCAAATACGGGAATACACACTAGCATGCATGGAAAAATATCTTTCCATCGACTCTTCTAGAGTCTCTTTCCAAGAAAGTCAGTGATAGTGTAATGAATTGGTTTTAAATCGTTTCATTACACCAGTTATCATCTACAATTAATATACTTAAGTACAACTGTTGCTAATCACTACGTTAAACAGTGCTGCCATTTTGTATTAGCATTATACTTTCAGACGAATTACGATTGCAATTAGCTCAAATTATTACGTACAGATTTGCAGTTTTAAATTCTTGTTAAACTATTCCGGATTAAGTAATGTATTATACGATATGCTGAATACGTTGCTTTGGAGTTTCCATAATGCTGAGTCAAAGTTTAGCATATACAACGCTTTTTTTTATTGCAATATAAAAATGAAACAATATTCAAATCTCATTCCAAGGAATAGACTCCATAGGCATCTAAACTAAAACGAAGATGGTTTACGCACATTTTGATTAACGCTTGTCACTTACCACCAGTGACAAAGTAGTCTACATACGCCAATACTTATGAAAAACACCTCTTACTGACTTCAAGAGGCAAGATGAGCTATATCATCAACTAATTCAGTTCCAACGACCAAATACTATGGTACAATATAGACGACGTAGTAAGAGATGGACTACTATTAATTACTGAAGAGATCTTGATAACCAAGATGATAGTCTTGACAATTTAATAGCAATTGGCAAACTAGTTGACTAACTAACCGACTAATTAACTAAAAACCGGTCTTCAGGCAGCAGCCTTTTATAGTCTCGTCAGAAACTTCTGGTGCATATAAAGTAAACTTATCCATCTAAAGTTATCATTAGAACGAGCTTACACATCGTAATAATGCTAGACATGCAGAATAGCTACATACAAATTAGCATACTGATTAAAATCTACATACAATCAATAATAAGAAAATCGCCTGCGATAATACTTAACAAGCCGAGGAATATCACATCGTACTATAGGTATTTCAGCCGAAATAATAGTAAATATACGATGTATTAGTTGATGTTATTGTTATAGTGCTAGTAGACACAAGTAAATACCTAGATTCATCATCAGCTATTCTAGTAAACATGGGTGTTACTAGGCTTTAATTTTAATCGAAGTATTTATAAATTGTTAAACTCTATGCTGGATTAATGAAGCTCAGATTAATGAAATGGGCTAAATAGCTTCATCTAAATTATACTATTAATCAGTGAACCAAAACAAATAGCCTAGAAGAGTGAGTTGACTTTTCGCAAGCATCTACAGTACAGTTCAAAGTAAGGCAAAGCTAATGTTTTGGATGTTAATTCAGGAGTCATTGGTCACTTTATTGACAGGTACGAATGATTCATATTCTGCTTTACTACCTTGCAGTCGATTCATAAATTTTAAATACTTTTGGCCGTTATGTAATATCATGGGATAATTTCTAAATCTAACGAAAGTTAGTTTAGAGAAACATCAACAAATTCAGACTTGATTTGTATCAAGTATCTAATTTTAACTTGATCTGGATTATATTCAACATATCTTTTAGTAGTTCAGTAAGGGCAATAACGTCGAAATGACGTAGTAATTATGTAATAATCAATTTATGATAAATAAAATAAAATAAAGAGATACGTAAGACGCTGATTACAATCTACTTAGTTGAGATCAACAGCAATATGCATTAATAAACAACTTTATCATTCATTTAGCTTTACTTCTCCATCTAATATTTAATTCATTCATTTGAATATTGGTCCACTTCGTATTCTGCCATAATGGAAAGTAAAGTATTCAAGGATATAGAAACTGTATATAGTTCGCTAAGTAGAAGGAGCATGGGTTCTACAAGTACACTCATGGCAGTCAAGAAATAGAGCAGCCTTGCAGCCTTGATAGAAAGAAGATGGCTCTCGTTACTAACTATAATATGAAATCGATACGATAGTAGATTGATCATGCAGCTGATTTCATTTGCTAAAAACTGGTATCCTCAATCTACAAACATTCTGTCTGCAGTCTGCCAAAAACAGAGATAGAAGTGAAGAATCTTATCAACTTATTTCGATGGCAAATAGATAGCAGGGTGGAGCTGAAGCTAAAGAAGGAAAAAACTTGTTTCTAACAAAAGCAGAGATAGAAGAAAGCAATGTTAATGCTTACCTTAATGGCTAAACACAGTAAAGA